GGATGACAAGGGAGATAAAAACACGACTGGGACGCGTGTTGAAATAGAGGGCATGGGTTTGTGGGGTCTTGAGTTATGCTTACAAAATTAATGGCATCTAACATTATTTTCATCCCATTGCAATGCACGAGCAAATGTGCTAGTTATTTTTAAGTATGGACCCAAATAATTCACCCATGACATGTTCTTGAAATTAATTTATTCTACTAATTATTCAGAACATGAGTGTTAGATTTTGTAGTCCAAAAAGATGATAATGAAGTTGAGAGAAGAGAGTATGCCTACGATCTATGAACATGATGTATGGCAAGAGATGGTATGACTTCTTCAGAGAACCATCTTGATCCTTCTTTTATCTTCATATATGGCCAACCATTGATATATTGTGGTGCGGAAGGTCACGAGCGCTAGAGATTGTGGCACTGTTTAGAGGGTTGGGCAACGACAGAGGCGGCAACTCAGGTAGAGAGAGGTAGTAGTGTGTGACAACATTTGCTGAATGTTGATGGTGGTGGAAGTGGGTTTGTAGGTAGAGGTGGGCGGGTCAATAGAGTCGGCGGAGAAAAAGGTATGAAGAGGGAGGAAGAAGAGTAGTAGAAGCATTGGGTGTTGGCGGCGGAGGAGAGGCAAGGGCTTAGCGGTCTCGAGTGCAGGGTGCGGGAGGTCGTGGGCACCAAAGATGGTGGTTGGTTTTAGAGGGACGACTGGCGTCAGCGTTGACAGAGGTGGTGACTTGAGCAAGTGGCGACGTGTGGCAACACTCGCCGGCTCTAGGGTGGCGGTGGCAGGTTCTTAGGCAAGGAGAGGCGGGCGGGTCGACAGTGTAGCTAATAAAAAAAATCTGTGACTACGGGACGAAGATGAAGAACTAGAGGCGGGTCTTTGTTGGATGAGAAGGGACAGGGGATTAACGGATTTGAAGGTAGGGTACATGATATCTCAGGTGGCGGGGATGGTGGTAGTGTTTAGAGGGATGCCGACACATCATGTTACAACATTTCGTTTGCACCATCCATCCCGAGCAATCACGAAAAATAGAAGAAATTGGTGGGACCATGTTAGAAAGATCTTTCCGGGTGAAGAGATGAGGAATCACGTAGTTCATGATGGTCACTTTCATCGTCTACGTATTGTCAGCCTTGTCGGCATAGGAACACATAGAGTGAGGGGTGTATGGGGTGAGAGAGTGAGAGGGCTGGTTGTGGTGAGAGAGTAGCTGAGGTCAGAATAAGGCTGGGCAGGTAAGCTAAAAAAATTGGATAGAAAACATGCCTAATTTTGAGAGAATTTCTTAAGTGCATCAAGTAAATTTTAATTTGTAATGTATTTTTAGTTAGATAATTGCTATATATATATATGCATCGTCAAATTGCTATTTTAATCAATTTACATTGCAAGTGAAGTGGACTTCAATTATTATTGCTATTTTAATCAATTTACATTGACTGATGCGAGACTTGATCGATCAATCGTTGCTCGTGCGCAGTAGTTTGCAGGCCCGAACGATCGATGCGAGTCTCTCGCTCCCCTGCACCTATGCGTGTGGTGCGAGAAACCGGCATATGTGCGAGTCGTTGTGTGCGCGGTAGTGTTGGATACCTCGATCGATCGATATGTGAGTCTCTCTGTCTCTCTCATGCGCGCGCGCATGACGCTTCACCTGTTCAGAGTAAATAGTAAACAGATATTCATGAAGTTCAAAAATTGTTTCCAAACTTCAAACAAATGTTCGTCAATTCAAAAGAAGTTCACTGATACAAAGAAATTTTCAGGAGTTCAAAAAATGTTCAAAATGTCAAGAAAAAAGTTGCGAACTTATGAAATGTTAATAATTTCAAAAATATTCGCCCATTTTGTAAAAAATGAACGCGAGTTTAAGATAATTTTAATTATTTCAAAAAAAACATGATTTCAACAAATATTCAGGAATTTAAAATATGTCTGCATAAACAAATAAAAGGGGAAACAAACATGAAAAAAGAAAAACAGAAAAAACAGGAAATAAAGTTGAAAACCCAAAAAAAGATAAAAGGAAGAAAAAACATAAATGTTTTGAAAAAAGTTCAGGGAAGGTTCCAAAAACGATATCAAAATAACCAGAATGGACCGCTAGCGTGCTCCCGCGAAAAGGAGTCTCCCTAAATAGGCCAGGCCAGGCGCGCGGGAGGCCACGGCCTCGTTGTTTTGTTTTGTTTTCCCTTTTTCCTTTTTTTCCTTTTATTTACCTTCGTTTATACTTTCAAATATTCTGAAAAAATATAATACAAAAAGCACTTTCCATAAAAGCAACTGAAAAAATTGTCAAGCAAGCGATTGAAAATGTTAAATTAGTATAGAGAAAATGTTTCTCATGTATACAAAAAGTACACAATGCGTGTGAAAAAAGTTGATCATATATTTTAAAAAATTAATCAAGCATTTGAAGAAATGTTGAACAAGTATTTGAAAATTTAATCAAGCATTTGAAAAAATTAAATGTCTATAGAAAAATTGTTGAACTTGTATTAGAAAAATGTTAATCTATCATTAAAATCCTAAATGTATATAGAAAAAATGTTGACCATGTATTACGATTTTTAGTCTTGTATTATAGTCAAAAAATGTTAAACTTGTAGTTGATTTTTTAAATGTATATCGAAAAAATGTTGACCCTGTATTAAAAATAGTTAATCTTTCATTTGAAAAAATGTTCATGAAACATTTGAAAAAACTTTAATGTGTATAAAAAGTTGACCAGGCATTAAAAAATATTAATTTTGTATTAAAAAATGTTAATAAAGCATTTGAAATGTTAAAAAAATTATAGAAAAATGTTGATCATGTATTAAATAATGTTAATCAAGCATTTGAAAAATGTTAAAAATATGCGTAGAAGAAAATGTTGACGGGCCTCCCTTATCTCTTGTCAGCTGGCAGCTGTCGCTTTTCTGGGCCTTGTTCCTTGCGCGAAGATGGGCCTCCCTTATCTCTTGTCTTCTATCGATCCGCCTTTTAGACTCTTCTTTTTCACCTTAAGTGCTACCTCTGGAACTTGTGTCGTGACACTTTATTACTCCCTCCATTAATGTAGTGCCTATAGATTTTTCTGAAAGTCAAACTTTGCCAGCTTTGACCAAATTTATAGAGAAAACGGTCTATATCTACACTATCAAACATGTACATTATGAAAATATAATGCATGATGTATCCATGATGTGCATTTGGTATTCTGGATATACCTATTTTTCTCTATAAAGATGGTCAAAGTTTGTATTGTTTGACTTTTAGAAAAATCTATAAACACTACATTATGGAACGGAGGGAGTATTACTCAACAATACAGTGAATATTCTCATCATAATCCATGCTAGAAACAAAGAGAAGTAAATCAAACATTTGTTGTTCCTCTAGATGTGAAGCTTGTTGATCTATAAAACTGGCTACTGCCAAACTAACTTAAATTTCTTTTTCTTTTCTTTTTCTTGGGGGAAAACTAACTTAAATTTCCCAAGTACATATTGAGTGATCTACAATAGCTTTATTTTGTTGTACTCAACAGCCAGGCTGAAAATCTTAAATTCATTTCTTTGTGAACAACGATCTCACAGAAGTCAATGAACAGCACATACAACTTATTAAGTTTGGTCATTATCACAAATCACAACTCATAAACCTTATTTATCCTTCGTTATGGCTGTACTCAAGTCTTGAGTCTTGATAGGCTGACGGAGATAATGTTAATCAACAAAGAGAAAACGTTAATTAGTGCGTGTATGTTTTTATATTATTAGCTGGAATGCACTACTCCTGAATCCTATTCTAAACCATGTTTTGGCCAGCTTGTGATTTTCGAACTTGCCGTCCTCCGGTGAACTTAATATGTACTACTCCCTCCGTAAAAAAATATAAGAGCGTTTAGATCACTACTAGCTTCTAAGGCGTGGTTATTATGAAGATTAATACTACATTATTATTATCCTTTTGGGCGGGAAGATTAATACATTTCTGAACTTGTCAGGATGAACACGAATATCAAATATGTAAGATAATTTTTGGGCTACCTGATCATAAACATGCCTTTCGCTTTTTAAAAGTAACAAAACTTGATATGTCATATGCTATCCATCTCAATGTTGCAAGTGTTACCTTTTAAGTGCACGCAAAGGTCATGAACGAAGCCATTTGTTGCTTGTGTCCTTGCATCAGTATCAGTTCCATGTATGATCCATGTTTTTTTTTAAACTGGACAGTATTATAAGCTCAAAAAAAATCTAAATAACAATGTCAAATATCTGCAATGTTTCATTTCCAGATCTGGTTTGATCTTACCGAAGGAGTAAAAACTAAAACAATTTTATTAGTCTTATTTTATCTGATGCATTACGCTCTACCTCTGCACACGTTGTTTCATGACTACGCTAGACACCTCTCCATTTTTGAGGCATTTCCGCAATTTCTTGATGGGGATATATTATATGCAGGCCTCGTATTTTACTCTAAACGTGATCCGCACATCAATGTGATGATAATATACAGATGTTGGAGTTGACCCAGCACTGGTTTCTTGTCCAGCTACAAGGGGTTGAAAGGAACTTCCGTTTGTTTTACTCATCGTGCGTTCAGGATAGACGTGATCTCGGATGTTTGCACCTTTTTTTCTTTTGAAAGAATTTCACATTTGATAACATATATCAGCAAAACAGAACACTTTTGTGTATATCAGTGGTAAAAGAAACTTTGAAAGTTCGACTGTATACATTCTCAAACGAGTATATATTGAAGAATTATTTAAAACCAGAGGTAATACTATTGTAATATTATAGTTAGTTGGTTTTTGTTCCTTTGTCTGACTTTGTATAGTTAACAATAACCCCTGCTGTTGAGCCAATCCTGTTGCTTCTTAATTCAGTTGTTTCCAGACATGTATATATAACAAGTTTCTTCCATCAGTATGCTTTGCCACATCCTGTCCTTCACTTTTAATTTGTAGCTTGGGGCTTGGCTCGTCTATCGGACTCTAAATGGCGAGTGGTAGTTCTTCGGAAGAAGGAGCACGCCAGAACTCCGCCGACAAGGACAAGCTGATCACCGTTCTGAGCATCGATGGCGGCAGCGTCAGAGGGATCATTCCGGCCACCATCCTCGCCTTCCTTGGAGAGGAGCTTAAGGTAAGATATATGCCTACAAACTCATCTACTTTGTCATCAAGTATGTTTGTCTACTGTTTCCAGAAGAACACTAGTTGTTACTGTGTTATGTGAACTCCTGCACTATATATCTCCATGTAGAAACTGGATGGGCCAGAAGCTAGGATCGCAGACTACTTTGATGTTGTCGCTGGCACGAGCACCGGCGGCCTCTTGACGGTGATGCTCACGGCGCCGGACAAGAACGGGCGGCCTTTGTTCGATGCCAAGGAGCTTGCTCAGTTCTACATGGACGAGTCGCCCAAGATCTTCCCACAGAAGTAACTAAAACATTGGATGTCCATATCATCATAAGAGTAGTTTTGTTTACTACGTACTATTCAGTAGTACTATCTTTGTAGAGTAATATAACATCATTTCACCTTATCAAAGTGTAATTTGAATGCCAAGTTGCAGGAACTCGTTCTTTGGCAAGATCGCCACAGCTCTGAGGATGGTGCGAGGGCCCAAGTACAACGGGAAGTACCTCCATGCGCTGCTTCGTCGGTACCTTGGTGAGACCAAGTTGGACGGTACGCTGACCAATGTGGTCATCCCGACCTTCGATATCACATACCTGCAACCCACGATTTTCTCGAGCTTTCAGGTACCCCTTCGTCCTGAATTACTTATCGCAGAAATGTATAGAATTTTTCTTTTCGAAAAGATAAGAAGTAAATGTATCTAGAACCAAAAAATACGTCTAGATACACCCTGTTCCTGTGGCAAGTAACTCGGGACAAAGAGGATGTATATCGCATATCAGATTGGTCTGTGCACAATTCTTTATTTGAAAGGAGTGAAATAAGATTATGCATTTGCAACTTCATCATATGTTATCAAAGTCATGCATAATGTTTGTACAAATGCATATATATCGTATTGTTTTTATCATAAAGAAAGGATTTTATGAATCTTTCTTTAATAGTTTCTTAATTAACAAGTTAATGAACTAGGAATCTGAAAGTGTTATGTTAAAGTATTGATATCATACATTTTGTTTTACTAAGAATACATGTTTTGAATAACAATAATGAAGAAAAAACTAGACATGTTTTCTCCGATATATCTACATATCGTCTGATATATTACCTGATATCCGGCATCTGATATATCGAAGCCAAACCGGTACGAATCTGATATCCCATTTTTGAAGCTTGGTTTTACCAGGAAAGAAGTTGGTGACTTCTTTTTCTCTTGCAAAAAATAACTTATGGTTTCTATAATTAACTCCATGCATGCATGCATGCATCAACCTGTAACAATGATCAGTTGAAGCACTCGCCTGCGAAAAACGCACTCCTGTCAGACATCGCGATCAGCACCTCCGCCGCGCCGACGTTCTTTCCGGCGCACTACTTCGAGGCCAAGGACGACAAAGGCGAGCCGAGGGCCTTCAACCTCATCGACGGCGGCCTCGCCGCCAACAACCCCGTAAGCTACCTAGCGCCTCACCGCCGGCCACAACACATCGACATCCCCCCTGAATCTCTCACGTACCACATGCATGCATGTATTTTCCCGCCTGCCTGCAGACGCTATGCGCGATGAGCCAAGTGTCGCAGGACATCATCGTGGGGGACGGCGAGTTCTTCGTGGAGAACCCGGTCGAGTACGGCAAGTTCATGGTGGTCTCCGTCGGCTGCGGGCTGAACCCGAAAGAGAGCTACAGCGCCAAGGACGCCGCCAAGTGGGGGATCCTGAACTGGATCGTCAAGGACGGCACCGCCCCCCTCGTCGACATGTTCAACGCCGCCAGCGCCGACATGGTGGACATCCACCTCTCCGTCCTCTTCGGCGCCCTGCGCTCCTCCCACCGCTACCTGCGCATCCAGTACGATCAGCTGAGCGGGAGTGCCGGTTCCATCGACGACTGCTCGAAGGAGAACATGGACAGGCTGGTGCAGATCGGGCACGAGCTCCTCAGGAAGAACGTGTCCCGGGTGGACCTGGAGACCGGCCGGAACGTGGAGATGCCCGGCCTAGGCACCAACGCGGAGCAGCTCGCCAAGTTCGCAAAGCACCTGTCCGACGAGCGGCGCCGGCGCAAAAAGGTGCTTCAGATTAACTAGCAGCTGGCCGGCCGGCTCGCTCTACTTTGTTGAGTCTTGCTCGTTTGGTGGATGTTTTCCATTCAGTTTTTTTCTTCTTGTACACAGTGATGTAATATTTGTACAGTTATGTAATAATACTGTGCCACATTTGGAAAATAGATTAAGGGTGTTCCATGTTTTGCCGGAGCAAGTGTTGATCACATTATTTGCCTTGTTTCCCGGATTATCTTTCAGTCTAATACTCTTTCAAGTCTAACAAATTCGACTAACGACCTCATAGTCATAGTGGTGTGCTTTGCCAACAAGAAACCTCGGTGCAACGACCCAGACAAGCATGATTTGAGCCGGATTGGCTTAACTTGTAGGCTGAGGAGACTGGCCAATCACATGGGCAGCATGAGATAATGTTTGAGCCGTGTGTTGGTTTAACTTGCAGGCAGAGAACACCTGCTATCCTAATCCACGTCGTATTTCATATTTCAGCCGTGTCTTTGCAGAGGAATGCGTGCATTGATAAACAAATGATGCAAGTATATTTAGGGAAACAAATGATGTCGGTTAGTTGTTGCCCAGTTGAAGTTTTGCATTTGTATATATGGACAAAGCGCATCAAGTACTAGTAATGCTATGTTTATTAACCTGTGGAATCTCATTGTCTTGCTCAAGGTGACCGTAATCCTCCCCGCGACTAACTATAATGCATGCGTTCACGTCATCCATATTTGCTGGTCAGCGCTGGTACTGTGATTCATTCAGGAAAGCTACTACTTATATACGTGTTCTATATTGATTGCTTTGAAGTGGTATGAAGAACAACCACTTTTTTTTGGCAAAGATATATGAAGACACAATGAAGAACGAACCAACACAATTGCTTCACCGAGTCCCAAGCATGTTCTAAGAGCATATGATGTAAAATAGGGCTAATGCCAAATAAACCCTTTTTAGGGCATTTGGACCAAAAGCACAGCTAGCTCTAGCATATGTCATATCCCTATATGGCGATGCAATTTTTTTGGGGCGGCCTCATATTTTGCTCCCAAGTGCTGTAAATATAAACAACCATGCGGCTACCGCAAAACAAACCCGTAGTTGTGTGTAGCTCAACTGCGAGGGTGAACTGCCCCGCGGTGAATCCATCAGTCACACCGACCGAATCGGCCGTAGCACCACCCCATTCGGCTGCCACCGCATCGGGCGCCGCGTCAACCAATTTCGACCACCACCGCTCACACCGGATGCTTGCCACGCCACTCTCTGAGGATGTCGTCGTGCCGCTGCCCCGTGAGTAGCACGGGCTTCCACGGCGTTCGTCTTCGGCAGTCCGGCTGCGACATCGGCAAAATCTTGAGTGCGGCAGTGGACGCAGCTCGGCACCTACAACACACCGGAGCTTGCTGCTTGGACGTTCCGCCGATTGAGGTCCAAGCTCAACTCCCCGGATGTTTCGAGTGTCAAGGAGGTGGAGTTTCCCGCTCCCTATGTGCGGTTTATGCCCCACAAAGAGGAGAAGGAAGACCGTCTAGTCGTGGAGCAGCACACTTCCCATGAGGGTGACACGGTGGCTATGGCGAGGTTCGCCTAGCCCAATCCACACCTCTTGGAGGCGAAGCATGAATTCTTCACCAGGAGGAACAAGGAGCGCAAGAAGGAGAGGACGGTCAAGGAGGACGAGGCAGGCCCCTCAATGGTGATCAACATTGAGACATACGAGGACAAGTTGGATATTGGGGATGGGCCACTCCTAGACCTTTGGAACCGTGTCAACGATGATGATGATGACGAGTAGTGTGTCATGGGTTGGTAGACCTTTTGTAGTGAGTCTATCATGTTGTTTGAACTCATGTTTCAGTATGTATGCAATTGTGGAGAAAGACATGTTTGGATGCCCTATTTGACAAACAAAATTTTGGATGCCCTATTTTACATCATCCATCATGGCATCTTTTTTTGGTGCCCTAAGGGCATCTCTAGATGATCCCATCAAAACCGATTAAGGGAGTAAAAATTTCATTTTGAGAATTTAAACCAGACATAACCAAACCCTTATCTGGTGTAGTGTAACACCCCGGACACACCTGCCGGTGGTCGTTACTCCTGGCGGGATCTAGACTGGCCCCACAGATCAATACCAGTCTTTTTTGCGCACTTTGTCCTCACTCGTGCGCACCCGGGAGCAACTTCCCGGTCGGTCACCTATCCTGAAACTACTCCAAGCTGAGCACACTTAACTTTAGAGTTCTATCCAAATGGGCTCCTGATGTCTACTACACAACCTTCTTCTTGTAGACGTTGTTGGGACTCCAAGTGCAGAGGTTTGTAGGACAGTAGCATATTTCCCTCAAGTGGATAACCTAAGGTTTATCAATCCATGGGAGGCGTAGGATGAAGATGGTCTCTCTCAAGCAACCCTGCAACCAAATAACAAAGAGTCTCTTGTGTCCCCAACACACCCAATACAATGGTAAATTGTATAGGTGCACTAGTTCGGCGAAGAGATGATGATACAAGTGGTATATGGATAGTAGATAAAGGTTTTTGTAATCTGAAATTATAAAAACAGTAAGGTAACAAATGATAAAAGTGAGCGTAAACGGTATTGCAATGATAGGAAACAAGGCCTAGGGTTCATACTTTCCCTAGTGTAAGTTCCCTCAACAATACTAACATAATTGGATCATAAAACTATCCCTCAACATGCAACAAAGAGTCACTCCAAAGTCACTAATAGCGGAGAACGAACGAAGAGATTATGGTAGGGTACGAAACCACCTCAAAGTTATTCTTTCCAATCAATCCGTTGGGCTATTCCTATAAGTGTCACAAACAGCCCTAGAGTTCGTACTAGAATAACACCTTAAGACACAAATCAACCAAAACCCTAATGTCACCTAGATACTCCAATGTCACCTCAAGTATTCGTGGGTATGATTATACGATATGCATCACACAATCTCAGATTCATCTATTCAACCAACACAGAGGACCTCAAAGAGTGCCCCAAAGTTTCTACCGGAGAATCACGACGAAAACGTGTGCCAACCCCTATGCATAGGTTCATGGGCGGAACCCGCAAGTTGATCACCAAAACATACATCAAGTGAATCACGTGATATCCCATTGTCACCACAAATATCCACGGCAAGACATACATCAAGTGTTCTCAAATCTTTAAAGACTCAATCCGATAAGATTACTTCAAAGGGGAAACTCGATTCATTACAAGAGAGAAGAGGGGGAGGAGAAACATAAGATCCAACTATAATAGCAAAGCTCGCGATACATCAAGATCGTGCCAAATCAAGAACACGAGAGAGAGAGAGAGAGAGAGAGATCAAACACATAGCTACTGGTACATACCCTCAGCCCCGAGGGAGAACTACTCCCTCCTCGTCATGGAGAGCACTGGGATGATGAAGATGGCCACCGGAGAAGGATTGCCCCCTCCGGCAGGGTGCCGGAACGGGTCTAGATTGGTTTTCGGTGGCTACGGAGGCTTCTGGCGGCGGAACTCCCGATCTATTGTGTGTTCTAGAAGTTTTAGGGTATATGGAGTTATATAGGCAGAAGAAGCACGTCAGGGGAGCCACGAGGGCCCCACGAGGCAGGGGGCGCGCCCCAGGGGGGTGGGCGTGCCCCCTACCCTCGTGAGCTCGTCCTTCCTTCCTTGACGTGGGGTCCAAGTCCATCAGGTGGCTTTCGTTCCAACAATAACTTCTCTAGTTGATTTCGTTCCGTTTCGACTCCGTCTGATATTCCTTTTCTTCAAAACACTGAAATAGGCATAAAACAACAAATCTGGGCTGGGCCTCCGGTTAATAGGTTAGTCCCAAAAATAATATAAAAGTGGATAATAAAGACCAATATTGCCCAAAATAGTAGATAATATAGCATGGAGCAATCAAAAATTATAGATACGTTGGAGACGTATCAAGCATCCCCAAGCTTAATTCCTGCTCATCCTCAAGTAGGTAAATGATAAAAAAAGATAATTTTTGATGTGGAATGCTAGTTGGCATAATTTCAATGTAATTCTTCCTACTTGTGATATGAATATTCATATTTGAAAAATTCAAGACAAAAGTTCATTTTGACATAAAAATAATAATACTTCAAGCATACTAACTAAGAAATTATGTTTTCTCAAAATAACATGGCCAAAGAAAGCTATCCCTACAAAATCATATAGTCTGGCTATGCTCTATCTTCACCACGCAAAATATTTAAATCATGCACAACCTCGATGACAAACCAAGCAATTGTTTCATACTTTTGATGTTCTCAAAAAATTTCAATCTTCACGCAATACATGAGCGTGAGCCATGGACATAGCACTATAGGTGGAATAGAATGGTGGTTGTGGAGAGGACAAAAAGGGAGAAGATAGTCTCACATCGACTAGGCGTATCAACGGGCTATGGAGATGCCCATCAATAGATATCAATGTGAGTGAGTAGGGATTGCCATGCAACGGATGCACTAGAGCTATGAAAGCTCAACAAAAGAAACTAGTGGGTGTGCATCCAACTCGCTTGCTCACAAAGACATAGGGCATTTTGAGGAAGCCCATCATTGGAATATACAAGCCAAGTTCTATAATGAAAGATTTCCACTAGTATATGAAAGTGACAGAAGATCATGGTGCTACTTTGAAGCACAAGTGTGGTAAAAGGATAGTAGCATCGTCCCCCCCCCCCCTTTTTGGCCTTTTTTTATTTGGCCTTTTTTGGCCTTTCTTTTTTTATGGCCTTTCACTTTTTTTTGGGACAATGCTCTATTGAATGATGATCATCACACTTCTATTTATTTACAACTCGATACTAGAACAAAGTATGACTCTATATGAATGCCTCCGGTGGTGTACCGGGATATGCAATGAATCAAGAGTGACAAGTATGAAAGAATCATGAACAGTGGCTTTGCCACAAATACTATGTCAACTACATGATCATGCTAAGTAATATGACAATGATGAATGTGTCATGATGAACGGAATGGTGGAAAGTTGCACGGCAATATATCTCGGAATGGCTATGGAAATGCCATAATAGGTAGGTATGGTGGCTGTTTTGAGGAAGGTATATGGTGGGTGTATGGTACCGGCGAAAGTTGCGCGGTACTAGAGAGGCTAGCAATGGTGGAAGGGTGAGAGTGCGTATAATCCATGGACTCAACTTTAGTCATAAAGAACTCATATACTTATTGCAAAAATCTAAAAGTTATCAAAACAAAGTACTACGTGCATGCTCCTAGGGGGATAGATTGGTAGGAAAAGACCATCGCTCGTCCCCGACCGCCACTCATAAGGAAGGCAATCAATAAATAAATCATGCTCCGACTTCATCACATAACGGTTCACCATACGTGCATGCTATGGGAATCACAAACTTCAACACAAGTATTTCTCAAATTCACAACTACTCAACTAGCATGACTCTAATATTACCATCCTCATATATCAAAACAATCATCAAGTATCAAACTTCTCTTAGTATTCAACACACTCATAAGAGAATTTTATTATTCTTGAATGCCTAGCATATTAGGATTTTAAGCAAATTACCATGCTATTTAAGACTCTCAGAATGATATAAGTGAATCATGAGAGTTCATCTATTTCTTCAAAATAAAACTACCACCATGCTCTAAAAGATATAAGTGAAGCACTAGAGCAAATGACAAACTACTCCGAAAGATATAAGTGAAGATCAATGAGTAGTCGAATAATTATGCAACTATGTGAAGACTCTCTAACATTTAATAATTTCATATCTTGGTATTATATTCAAAAAGCAAGCAAAGCAAAATAAATTGACGCTCCAAGCAAAACACATATCATGTGGCGAATAAAAATATAGCTCCAAGTAAAGTTACCGATGAACGAAGACGAAGGAGGGGATGCCTTCCGGGGCATCCCCAAGCTTAGGCTCTTGGTTGTCCTTGAATATTACCTTGGGGTGCCTTGGTCATCCCCAAGCTTAGGCTCTTACCACTTCTTGTTCCATAGTCCATCGAATCCTTACCCAAAACTTGAAAACTTCACAACACAAAACTTAAAGTAGAAAACTCGTAAGCTCCGTTAGTATAAGAAAATAAATCACCACTTCAAGGTACTGTAATGAACTCATTCTTTATTTATATTGGTGTTAAACCTACTGTATTCCAACTTCTCTATGGTTTATAAACTATTTTACTAGCCATAGATTCATCAAAATAAGCAAACAACACATCGAAAACAGAATCTGTCAAAAACAGAACAGTCTGTAGTAATCTGGATCAAACGTATACTTATGGAACTCATAAAATTCTCAAATAAATTGCTGGACCTGAGTAATTTATCTATTAATCATATGCAAAAATAATTAACTAAATATCACTCTCCAAATAAAAATGGCAGCAATTCTCGTGAGCACTAAAGTTTCTGTTTTTGACAGCATGATCAACAAGACTTTCCCCAAGTCTTCCCAAAGGTTCTACTTGGCACAAACACTAATTAAAAGCATAAAACAACATCTAAACAGAGGCTAGATGAATTATTTATTACTAAATGGGAGCAAAAATCAAGGAATAAAAATAAAATTGGGTTGCCTCCCAACAAGCGCTATCGTTTAACGCCCCTAGCTAGGCACGATGATTTCAATGATGCTCATATAAAAGATAAGAATCGTAACATAAAGAGAGCATCATGAAGAATATGACTAGCACATTTAAGTCTAACCCACTTCCTATGCATAGGGATTTTGTGAGTAAACAACTTGTGGGAACAAGAATCAACTTGCATAGGAAGGT